GGGGGGGAGAGAGAGACAGAAGCCCTCTCGCGTTATAGGTGGGGGGGGTCGGGTCGAGGCAGCCTTTCCAAAAGCCCACCCACCTTGCAGACGCCTCCAGCGGCTTGTGCAATGCACCGACCAGCCGGCCCTGGCGGGGAGCCTTTTTCCCTCGGGGACCGAAGCGACCCGAAGCGGCTGGTCGGGGGAGCCGAAGGAGCGCGCGCGGCGGTGGCTGCCTGCTGAATGCCAAAGACTGCTTCCCCGGGCAGGGAGGGCCGGTGCGTGCCTCTGTCTCTGTGTGTGTGTGTGAGAGAGAGAGAGCGAGCGAGTGTGCGTGAGTGTGCACGCGCGGAGCGGGGGTGTCCCTCCTCCCTCCCCTCCCTCCCCCCTTTTAATCTCTGCGTCCAGCCCGGAGTTGCCTGTTGCTTGCCTTGCCTTCCCGGCTGGCGCTGGCTCGGGCGCGCGACACACACAGCGAGACAGAGAGCGAGCGAGCGAGCGAGGAAACTGAAATTAAACTGCAGCCAGCGCACGAGCGGGCGAGCGAGCGAGCAAAAAAGTGCAGCCTCCTCCAGACACGCACAGAGGCAGCAACAGCGGCGGCGGGAGAGAGGCTGGCGATGTGGTCGTGGCGGCGCCAGCAGCAGCGGCAGCAGCAGAGGCAGCAGGCACGGCGGAGGCGGCGGGTCTCGCTCGCCTTTGCGAAACCCCGAGCGTGCATTTGAAAGGGAACGCAGGGAAGCGTGCGATATTTTCTTTCCCTTTCTCCCTTCGGAGAAGCCCCCCTCCCGAGACAAACCCGGAGGACGCTCAGCCCGTGGGGAGCTCTTCAACCTGCCGCCCCCCCCCCCACCTTTGCAAGACCTTGGGGGTGTAGGAACTACAAGTCCGGAGGGACTCCGGTTTCGCTTTTTTTCTTTTCTTCCCGGACGCGGCCGCTTTGCTTCTCCGCCCCCTTGAATATTCTGCTGCCGGCGCTGGGCAGAGGAGGAGGAAGAGGTGGAGGGCAGAGAGGCGCGCGTGTGAGTGTGTCTGCCTTGCCCGCCTGCCTGCGTGTGAGCGAGGGAGAGCGAGCAGGCGGGCGGGCGGACGAGGCAGGGCGCTCTGCTCTGCTCTGCTCTGCTCGGCTCCCCTCCCGATGGCAGGCGGCGAGAGATGCGGCGCTCCGCCGCAGCCGAGATTAGATCTGGGAATGCAGCAGCGGCGTTGAAAAAGCCCCGACAGCCCGCCGCGGGGCCGGCAGACGTCGCCCGGGCTTGCGCCAG